AACCGCTCAGTCCCAAACGGGGTCACGGAGCCAATCCCAGCCAGCTGCGGGCGAAAGGCGGGGTACACCCTGGACAGGTCGCCAGCCCATCGCAGGGCCAACACAGACAAACAACCACTCACACACACAAGCACTCCTACGGGCAATTTAGAGACACCAATCAACCTATGCTGCAGGTCTTTGGACTGTGGGAGGAAGCCGGAGCACCAGGAGAGAACCCACGCAAGCATGGGGAGAACATGCAGACTCCGCACAGAAAGGTCCGAGCTTGGCCGGGGCTCGAACCCAGAACCTGCTTGTTGTGAGGCAACAGTGCTAACCACACGTGCTGCCACAAGAGATATCCTGTCACTTAATATGAAAATCACCTGTTTCATGGAAATACTATTATCAGCCTGTACTTTTAAGCAAAAGGGGCGCCCCGCCCCCTGTTACATAAGCAGCATACCTGCACAGGTGGTAGGAAAGGACCAATCATCAACAAGGGCCGTCTGCATTTGGCGGGGCTGCAAGTGGTTTAAATTTTGAAAGCAGTTATTAGGTTAGTTTGTTCAGTCCATGGAAGACAGCTGTTCCCTGCGTCAGTTGCTATAGTCTCTGATGTTGATTTGAATAAGTTTGTTTGGGACTACAAATCCGCATTGTATGTGCTGGAAAATGGAGCTTTAAGTGTTCGGTAAGTCCCAGAATGTTTCTTTAAGAAAAACTGTTTTAACACTGAAGGAGGAAGTGTATTTCAGTCTGTTACAATGAATTTGTTTCATGCTCCATGACATGTGGCCTGTAGATTTGGAATCATTTGAGTCAAACTAATTTTATTTATCTTTCTTTCTACCGAACTGTAAGTCAATTATTTTTACTTTATTGTGGGCTTCCTTGTTAGGGAACCCACAATCTTGCTGTGGTCATTTTGCCACAAGTCCTGAGTTTACTGTGATATCTAGAGTGTTTAGTTCAGGTGTTTTTGCCGGCCCTCCATGCCCAACTCTCTTTCCAACTCTCCTTTCCAACATGGCTTCTCTGCCATGATTATTTAGATATTTTTATATGTCATCTGATCGAAAGTGGCCATCTGTGACTAGATTTGTGTAACGGGCATAGATCTAGGCTGCCAGGCACATAAAACTCTTAGGAGCTTTGTCCTGGGAGTTTTATCTGCAGCACCGGTCTATCCCAATCGCTCGCTCCCGCACCGTTCGTTCATCGCCATTTGAAGAATTTCTACATGTTGATCTATAAAAGGATTGTGGTTTTATTTTGTTCTCTAACCTGGTTGGCTCTCCTCTAGCTGGCCACCGTGCCACATCATTTTCTTGAAGATATTTCACCACTGTGCATCCGTTTATTAGTTTCAGATGGCCACCGGTCTGTCGGTTTAAGCGTAGTGTCATTATCTGGATTTACAAAAGGTATGTTTACACTCAAACCTGGTTGGCTTCTCCCTCTAGATGGCCGCCGCGCCACAACGATTTTATTTTTGTCCTGATATTCTCAGTCAACGTTGCGCGTCCAAATGGTAAGTGTCGGGTCGTCAGTACGTCTCTTTTTCTCTCTCTCTCAAAAACATGACCTTGGTGTCATGACTCTTTCTAGCTAATCTGCTTGAATGTATATTATTGCAATAACACTTTGCTTTTCGGGAAATCAACAAAACTGTAAGTCTCATTTTTATTCATTTTCCTTGTCGCGGCAGCACCTGCCTGCCTCTTTCTCTATCTTCCATTTCTGGCTTTGGAGGTGCCTGGCTTTGTGTTTGGTGCGTTTTGGGGAGTGCCTGGTTTTGTGTTTGGCGTGTTTTTAGGAGGCGCCTGGTTTTGTGTTTGGCGCATTTTAGGAGGCGCCTGGTGCTGTGCTTGGCGTGTTTTAGGAGGCGCCTGGTGCTGTGCTTGGCCTTGGCGCGTTTTAGGAGGCTCCTGGTGCTGTGCTTTGCGCGTTTTAGGAGGCGCCTGGTGCTGTGTGTGGCGTGTTTTAGGAGGCACCTGGTGCTGTGTGTGGCGCGCTTTGGGGAGCGCCTGGTGCTGTGTTTGACCCTGACTATAGACCTGTGCACCGTACTGTTTGGTGCTGAGACTCAGACTCGACCTGACCTGATGAGACCCCCCTCAGCTGTGGGAAGCACAGTCAACTGCACTTACCTCCAACAGCAGTTGAATGAACCTTTCTTCTGGAGTTAATTATGTGCAAGTGTGGACTGAAACCTGGGATCCTCTGAAGAACCTCACCAGTGAGGGGGAGACCCCCACCCCATGTGTGTGTCCTGCAAACTCTTTCTCTGCTTGTCTGCAGATCTACATCTGTCTATCATTTTATGTTTGTCTGTCTCAGTTTCTGTTCATTCACACTTGCCTCCATCTTTTGTTTGCATGTTCTCGTCTGTCCATAAAAGTCAATGGCGCCATGAGAGTCTGATTAAAAAGGTAAAGAACTCAACTTTGACAGTCCTGCCCTTCAGTGCCTCCTATGGGTGTATGACATGAGACACCACAACAAGCTGTTCTGGTCGTGGTGTGGCTTCATGGCAGGACACTCATAAGGTGAGGACAGACAAGATGCAGTTTTTTGTCTCTGTCCAACATGGTCGCCATGGCAACTTACAGTATATCTGTCTTTGCTTCTCATATCGTCCAGGTGGGGGAGTTTTGGTCACTAACCATCTGACGACCTCCATGACGTGGGTCCGATTGAAGCTGTAGCACCTCCAGATACACTCATAAAGGAAGTATTGAAGGGGTCTCTGTGTCTGTCTCTCTCTCTGCCCAACATGGGCATCTATTCTGTGTTAGTCTTGTGTCCTACAGGGGGTGGAGTTTAGTCGTTAACCATCTGACGTCCTCATGCCCCTCACCCATTTACCAGGGTCACATACAGTCAGTGTATCAGTCAGGCATTTTAATAGTCCTGCACTGCTTTGGTTACTGGGGTAAACTGTGCCTGAGATCGGCCTGAGGCTCCCTGTTACTGTGCTCACTTTATATTCTGACACATTAGATTTAATTGTCTGTACCACTGTTTGGGACACTGGCTTTCTCTAGTGCTCATTCAGCCCATAGATAATCTGTTGGAATACATTTTAAATCTTTTTTTTGGCACACAGCTTGTCAAGTTAAGTGTTGGATAAGGTTAGATAAACTGGGCTTTTTTTCCCCCCGAACAGACAGCACTTTGTATCTTTAAGTGCTATTATAGAGATTATCACCGCCCAGATTTCGATTAAAAACAGTTTATTGTACTTTAGCTTTAGGCCTCTGGGTCATCTCGCTCTGCCAAGTTTCAAGAGGGAGTCTTGCGCTTCGTGTAGGCCCGGTGAGGTTAGAGTTTAGCTTTTCGTGTTTTCCGAACATTGGGAGACCTCCCAGCAGGGGACTTTATCCCACTCCTACAAAGTGTTATGCCATTGATACGGGGATACTTTAGACAGTTTTTCATATTTACATTGTCATCGCACATGGTTTACGCGGTACCACCTGGGGGTGCGTTTGAGTTCATGGGAGGGAGCCTGGCAGAGACAGATGACTTAAAAAAAAAAAAGCTTGTGGATGCCCGGTTTGGGTATATTTGCCATATTGTCTGTGATGACAATGACAGCAGTGATACTATGAAGCCTGATTGTCAGGTACACAGGTGACACCATATTGAATGTACAGTATTATTACAGAGTTTTACTCTTTAACTTTCTTATAGCAAGATTATACTGTGGGCTGAATGTCTTAAGGCTAACAGACTTTGTATGGAAGGAACTGAGCTCTGCAGGGACAGTACCTCAGTTTATTAAAATGAAAATTGGCCTTTTGCAGTACGTTGTGTCTTGTGAGGTCTTAGCTTGGCAGCATGAATTAGCCTGTCCTCTTCTCTAACTCCACATATTCCTACATGATATCCACTGACAGTGTTTTCTAAGATGACATGTAAATTAGAAGTGAGAGAGCCAACATGGGAGACAGTTGTAGTGTCTAATCAGTGACGGTTACACTGCTTTTTGAAAACATTACAGGTTGTGTTTATCTTGCTAAATCAGTGCAGAGTGACAGTCAGTTCTAGGGTTAAGGAAGCCAGGGCTTCTCCACACTACAGAGAACAAGGCCAACTGAGTCGACTCGCATCATAAGAGGCTTTTCTCCTTCACCTTCTTCTTAGTGTGTGAAGTAGTCCGAGCTTTCAAGTTATTGGTAGTTGGGACAGTTGTTGAGTCCCTCTTTGAACCTGTATATTTGCTGGAAAAGTGACCGAGGTAGTCAGGAGATGTGCAGGTACCTAGAGAAATGAGGCAGATTCGAGGCAAATACTGGCTAGATCATGGACCCCTACTGAGCTGGAGCTGTGTGCCATGTTTGTGCAGTTTCCAAAACCAGACAAGGATCCCTCTGGTTTTGTGAATCTGCTGACATGGTATGCTGTTATGATCATACTAAGAGATACATGTACAATTAACATGTTTAAGGGGTAGATTTGGTGAGATGGAGGAAGCTGTGTCTATCGCAGTTCAAGATGAGGATGCACAGAGTAGACCTGACTAGATAAAGGCGTATAAAACTCAGTTAATGTGTTGTGTTCTTAAACTGGGATTAGTGGAGGGACAAGAAGCAGTACACTTCTCATTTCCCCTCATCTGTATTTGAGCTTTACATTTTTAGACTAACAAACCTACATTTCTTGTTCTCAGTGAACACGCCTAGTTTCAGGACCATGCTTATGGTGACTTAAATCTTTTTCCCCTCCTCCTCCTTCTAAATCAACTACACTGTTCCACGGCACCCTAGTCGAGTATCTGAAAGCACCAGTCAGGGAGAATGAAGCCACTGTGAGGGAAAGTGTGCAGGTAGACAGACTTTGATATGTTGGAGAAAAGCATGTTGTTGAAAAGTTGCAGTTTACCAAGTTGTTTCCTGTCCCACCAGAGAAGCTGACGTGGGATGCTGGGACCCAGAGGTTGCTGTGTTCAGCTGTGAAGAAGACGAAAACCCTGCTGTACCAGACCCTGAACAATGGCGCCTCTACACAATAAGTTGTTGATCTCTTCAGAGATGTCAGGTATTCACTTCTGTCCACTTAATAAATTCTTTGTCTTTGTACTTACGATCGAGTTACTTTTTTTTTTTTTTGACTGATGCCCAACCTTAGGAAACTGAAGCTGGAGAAAACAACCTGGTGACACAAAAGGGACCATGAGGAGGCTGCTACAGACATCCACACCAACCTCTTGGGTCCTGAGCGTTGAGGCTGACTTGATGAGATCTTGAAGGGGCTGTTTCAGC